ATTCTGCCTCCAGCTTCCTGTAGTCAGCCCCTGGTCAGTTTCAGCAGCAGCGGCTGAATCTGGAGCCAGTTCCGACTTACATACAAATTCAACTTAAGAACAAACCAATAGTCCCTATCTTGTAAGTAACCCGGGGACTGCCTGTAGTTGATAACTTGCAGGGTTTTCTCTTTTAAAGAAGGTTTTAAAACAAACCTTTTTTTCTTGAATTATGTTTAGCTGTCTTGGGACTCTTCTGGTGCCACTTTTTCTCTCCCCCCCCCCCCCCCCCCCCCTGCCTATGATTCTGATTTTTATCTAGAGTATCATGTTTTATTCAGAATGTCCATCTAGCAGCAAACTAAAGTATCCCAAATACTTCAAGGGTACCCAGTGCATACCTACTTTGAAGGAATGCTATTGGATCACAGTGGCAAACCTCCAGGGAAATAGCTATGGCAATGTGGACATGTCTGTACATTCCTACTGATCACATCAAAAAACCCCTCCAGAGTTATCTAGAGTATCATGTTTTATTCAGAATGTCCATCTAGCAGCAAACTAAAGTATCCCAAATACTTCAAGGGTACCCAGTGCATACCTACTTTGAAGGAATGCTATTGGATCACAGTGGCAAACCTCCAGGGAAATAGCTATGGCAATGTGGACATGTCTGTACATTCCTACTGATCACATCAAAAAACCCCTCCAGAGAAGAGGAGAGGTGGCTAAGTGGGAGCTGAGATCTCACTTTTTCATGTGTGGACTTAGGCCCAATTGTGAGAAATGGGATTGGTGGGAATTAGAGATGTTTGAGTGTAAACAGCAGTTTAACTGATAAGTGGATACTTAATCATTTAATGGTGTCAGTTACTCTCAGCTAAGCCTCCTCCTGGGGAGCTGGGCCAGTAAGGGCTGGTGGCCCTACTCCTGGGACGGCTTTGCTGTGTGCTGTGCAGTATAAAGCGAATGTTTTTTATTACAAAGCCCACAGTGCATGTAACTGCTGAGATTTTCAGCAGTTAAACGATTACTGTGTTACGCTATTTTAAACTTCCCTAGTGGGAATGGGAAGTTAGGAGACTTTATTGCAATCTAACTTTATTTGTAATTTTGAAGAGAAAATTGGAGCATTGGAAATGTATTCCTTTTTATGTTTTATATGACGCTAGTAGTGTATTTATTAGATACAGTAGAAAGTCAGCGTTGCGAACACCTCAGCAATGGAAATTGTTGATAACTGAACAAAATATTATGATCTTTCAAAAGTTTACAACTCAAAGCTGTATTTAAGTCTGTGTTTAAACTTTATAATGCAGAAGAAAAATGCTTCTTTTAACCATCTTAATTGAAATGAAACAAGCACAGAAACAATTTACCTTGTCAATTTGTTTATATAGCTTTCCATTTTTTAAATAGCTTACCTTTAACACAGTATGATAGTACTGGTTCCAAATGAGGTGTGCAGCTGACCAGTCAGTTTGTAACTCTGCGGTAATTGTGTGTGCAGTAATTGTGCGCGCACATACTGACTGAAGAGGCTTGAGACTTGGAGCTATCATTGAAGAGCCTGTTCTCAGGAGAACAGCTTCTGACAGGGCTCCATTTTTTTTCCATAATCCTTGTGGCCATGGAATTTGCCACAGAATTATGTTGTGAAATATTAACTTTTATTTAAATAAATAGGGCAGTCACTGACACAGGCTCTAAGAAAACCTCCAAATATGAACTGATACTTTGTGGTCAGTGGTCTGAATTTGTGGGCAGATAGTGCAAAGCTTGTAGCATGGGGTGGCAGCAGGCTCCTAGGAGCAGGGCTGGGAGTTGCTGCACCCTAACAGAGCAGAAGAGGGGAAAACTTTTGGCACCAATGTATGTGGCAGGGACACACACCTATGTTGAATGGACATGAGCAACACATCTCAAAGAACACCAGTTTCCCACCTTAATGCATCAGTGCATAAACTAAAAACATAAGTGAAAACAAACATTCTCTTTTCCTTCCCTTTCTATCAGACTAGCAAATATAAGGAACTCAGATTTGAATAAAATTGGCAAAGAAAGAGTTTACATTTAAACTACCAAGGGATTTTTCTAAATAAATTGGAAAATTATTTAAATAGACGCAGTCCTTGACAATGTGTGTCTCTTTAATGGAATAATTGTATGTATTCCTTTTTTGTTTTGAAATATGTAATTGTAAATTGGTGATTCAGTGGAATACTTTAGTTAGGTTTGTTTATAATACAAAATTAAGAATTTGTTTATTCCTTTAAAACAGTGAAAACAGGATGAAATTTCCATCTGTTTCTGCTTCTATAGCCTGTACACTTTGTAAATTGAAGCTTCTGGCACTTAATCAAACTGGAGTAACATGGACCGAGGTAATGAGCTTCTTACATTTTATAAAATAAATTGTTTTTATATGCTAGTCATTTTGTTTCATGGGTCAGTAAAAACTTAATAGGGGCTTTTACACTAGATCATACAATCTTCTAAAGTGGAATCTGAGCTATATTAGAGAAAAGATGCACCAGTATAACAAAATCAATCTGAAATTGTTGTTTCATTGGTATGAAGCCCTAATGCAGACACCCTTAAAGCAGGTTAAACTCACTTAAATTTGTAAATTACTGAATTAAATAGTCTCAAAGGGGGTAGTCCTATTAGTTTGTAACTTTAAAAATGAATACTCCTATGGCACTTTAGAGACTAACCAAAAAAGTGTATGTGTGTGTGGGGGAGGGGGCGGGTATTATGCACTTTCATGGGCAAAACCCACTTCTTTACTCAAGTTCATCACATCTGAAAGCTCATGGTACTATATATATATTTTGTCAGTCTCTAAGTGTCACAGGACTACTCATTCTTAAAATTTTTTTAATTGAATAGGTTTAGCTTAACTAAAGTTTAACCTTGTTTAAATGTGTCTACGTTAGGGAGGTATGCTAGTATAAATTGACTTTTATATGCCAGTGCAACTTTTCTAATATAGATCAGTCCTAAAACAAAATAAAAAATGCTCTTTGAACATTGACTTTTTTAGAGCTATATTTATGTGACTGAGGAACTTTGATATAATCTTATTGAGAATACAGGCAGTTCCCGACTTACGCGGATCCGACTTATGTCGGATCTGCACTTACGAACGGGGCTTTTCTCGCCCCGGAGCTCACGGGCGGTGGGTCGCCACCCGTGTCCTCCGTGGCGAGAAAAGCTTCTCCTAGTCTCCCTGGTCTGCTGGGGGGGTCCAGCAAAGCCGCTGGACCCTCCCCCCCCCTCCCAGGAGACAAGGGACACCCGAGCAAAGCCACCGCCTGGGTGGCTTTGCTCGTTTGCCCGGGAGCAAAGCCGCCCAGGCGCAGTGGCTTTGCTCTCCGTCTCCCTGGTCTGCAGGGAGACGGGGAGCAAAGCCTTGGAGCACGCCCGCAG